GGCCCTCGGCCGCGCTCCGCTCATGTGGCGGGGTGGGGGTGGCCATGTTGCTTTCTGCCGCAAGGAGCCGGCGAGTTAGGACTTTTCCTGTCACTTCAGCGATCGCCCGTCCCTCGCCAGGATGCGTGCGTGCACCCTCACGGCCATGTAGGAGTAGCAAAGGTTCAGTTCCAAGGCTGCCGTAGTATTTCAAAGCTAGTGGTGAAAGATGCCTTGTGCTTAGGCGATACGCAGTCGCTAACCTGGGGTGGGGTGAGTGTCTCAAACTGAGTAGTTATGCTGCTCTAGATTTAGGCAACCGAAAAAGCGATGTTGCTGCTCAGATTCAAGATGTGATGCAAACACTATTCCCTTTTATCATCTGATGTCACCTTTCTGGTCTAAGATCGTATTTTTGTTGGAACTTTCTGTAGGCTAATTTCTGTAAAGTGTTTAATTATTAAACATTTTCTTCCCTCTCTGTGTGTGAAGTTGTGTTCATAAAACTACACAGTGTTTCATAATTACTGTCCCAACCTGCACTTCCCCTAAAGAATTGAAGCAGAGCTGGACACGGTCTGGTAACTGTCAATCTAATTGTACACATTCGTGTATCATGGGGAACAGAGTGTGGAAGACCTTGTGCTAGTGTTTGGAGAAAATGAGAGATTTAAGGATGGGTGACTTGTTCCTGCTTCTCACCTACAGTGCCTAAATAGCCAGTGCATGCTTTGGAGAGGCCTTTAGATAGAAATACTTAACTACAAGAATCAGTTTGCTGTTTTTAAATACAGACATCTTAGTTTGCCAGGGAGACAGTCTTAAGGGATGCTGGTCATACAGTTTTCTTTCCTGAACAACAAAAAAAACCCCTTTACTTACAAGAAAGACCAACGTTGGTCATCAGTTATGAATTCCTTGACTAGTGGTTCTGAAGTAGAAGAAAATCGATTGTTAGCGAGCTGGAGCACCAGCAGCAGCCTTCCCATGTTCTTCAGCCACAGTCTCAAACACTTATTTTTACTTCTGATAACTGATCTTTCCAAGCCTAAGCCCATGCTTTTGAAGGAGAGAGCTTCATGTCTCGTGTGTTTTGTGACTGTCATGGGGCTTGGCAGGTGTTGTGATAAGTTATTTGTAATATTGATAGCCACTAGAAATTGAAACAATACTAAAGGCATGTTTCTGTGGCTCTCTTGGCTGCAGTGCTGGCATACGCCTGTCCCCACACTGTTCTCTCCATTGTTTTTGCATGTTTGTGTGGTCGTATGTTGGGCTAGATCTGGGGCCTAATTTAGACAAAAATAAGCAGTTTATTTTGCTACACCATTTTCCAGTAGGATTAGTTCCCAAATCAGGTTTAACCTGGAGTGACGTATTTGTGCTGACCCAGTAAAAGTAGAAGACAAGGCAATGCTTAAGACAGTTTAACTGACCTGTTGTTGACAGTTCTGCCATAGATCAAACATGAAGGAAATATAAGCTATGCTTGGTTATTTTCAAATGTATTTAAATAATACCCTTTTTATGCTTTTACTCTTAGGTGGCTCACACTTCTAAGCTTAAATTTGAGCTTGCATAGTGGCTAAAATCATAGATGGCCGCTGTTGCAAAAATAGTGCATGATTTGGAGTTGAGTAGTTTAGTTGAATGTGTGGTTAGGAGTTTGATTACTTCGTGAACATATGGAAGCCTTTCTATTGCTGACCTTCAAAATCTGGACCTAGGTTTGAAGAAATGTGTCATACTTTAGTAAACATCTTACAGTAAGACTTACTTTGCAGTAAGTATTTTATGTAACTGAAAAGTAACCAGCTTCACTGGTTTTCATACTTAAAGGGAGAAATAAGCTAGGGAATGAAAGAACAGGGAAATGTGAGATAGCCCTCTTTGCCCTCAATGGTAAGTAGTAACTTTTGGTGTTGCTTCCCTAGTATGCAAATGTATCTTAGGCAATGCAGAAGGTTATGAATGTCTCTTTAAGCGGGATACTACTGAAATCAATGATTCTTCTAATACTTTCTTGTTTTAAATGTTGAGAGTATGGAAAAGTATTCTTGGAACTAGTTAGGAATGTTGAGGCTTCAGGTTGGGGTACTCTGAAGAGTTCTGTGGAAGTTTCTAAGAAATGCAAGCTTACTGTAAGTAAAGATAAACCTGTTCTACTGTGATTCACATCTCCACTGCAAGCAAAAACTTAAGCCTCTGGAAAAATTAAAGGATAAAACTGTCAGTTTATCTTTTGCTATCCAGATAGCTTCTCTTATAAGACTATGCTGTCTGAGTCTGCCAGAATATGCAGGAGCGTTTCCTGTATTTCAGAGATTAGTGTGTAGTCACTTTTTGGAGCCTTTGAGAATTAAATGTGATCAGATAACAGTGTACAAAAGTCCACAAAGTCAATAACAAAACTGATAGTAATGCTTTAGTAAACAGTAGTTTACCAAAGGTGACTTTATAATTTAGCTAAGCAAAGACCATAACTAGGAAGTGCACGGAAGTAAATTATATGTGAGCATCTGATCCCTCATCCCTCAACTGGGAAATGAGCATTGTGGTTCTTTAATTTTTGTTTCATGGCAGTTTTTCTATTTAAACAAATCAAGTGTTGTGATTTTAACTCTACATTCTAAAGGGAAGATATGCAGGTGAAATTCTTCATTTGTTTGATATATAACTTGAAAAACACTTGCTTACACGGCCAGTTGTGGATAGGTAGGATTTAGAGCTAAACAGGTCCTTCTTTAAATTAAGCTATTATTTCTAGAGGTTAGTATACATTACAAACAGTGGTGTATAGCCTCAAAATTTTGGGGACGTTCACTTCAAAATAGCTCCTAAAATTAAAGGCACACTGAAAGGTTTTCTTTTGTATTAGTGACAGGCAGTCTGCATGTGAATTAAGCACAGGACAGGTTCAGCCTTAGACTTAACCTTACTACTAGATATTTCTGCCCTAATGTTTTTAGTGACCTGCTGTGGTTGAAAACACTATCAGTATTCAGGTGTGGTATGGTGAACTTGGTTGCTTGCTCATTGCCTTTTCCTGAAAGGTAGGATATAAACCTATCTCAAATGATGTTTAATAATCGAGAGCGTCTATTGTAAGCTGCCTTTCTAATTGTAGATTACCTTTCTGACTTAATAGAAAACTTTCTCTAAAACTTTAAGAGGAGGAAGATACTGGATGTCTCAAGGCTTCTTTTTTGAGGAGGTGTGTAGGCCTGTTTTGTGACATAAACATTTTTCTAAAAGGATTTTAAGAAAGCACATTTCACATAGCATGTAAAATAAATCTGAAGCTTATATAAGCTAATTCCTAAAAATAACATAGGAGACTGGGTAGTACTGAGTTTAATGGTAGGAGCTACAGGTACAGCTACTGTGGTACATGGGAAATTTGGATGAGAAAATGTGACCCTCTTGGCAGCTTCATAATGATCAATGTGGACTTCAAAGCAACAGAGGAGAGAATCAAATGAAG